CCCTGGCCCAGCTACCCCAGAACAGCTGCTGCTTGCTGTGGGGACCCACAGGCAGTAATTATTACAGTGCAACTTCCTTCCCCCTCTGAAGATGAGGAGGAGGAGGAAAAGGAGGAAGAGGTGGTAGCAGCGGCCAGGGTGGTCAGGGTTTAAAAACCAGCTCAGGGAAGGCCGTGTTAAAAGGTGAGCCTTGGGGCCTGGGGGAATGGGGGGTGGGTCGGGTGGAGAAATGGCCTGAGCCCTGGAAGAGTGTTGGGCCAGCCGTTCTAGAGGGGGCTCATGGAGGCTGGGGCTGCACCACTGACAGGGCAGGACCCAGGAAGAAGAGAGGCCAAGAGCCTTTCCAAGCCCCACCCAATCCCCTGCTCAGGCAGCGGGCATGGCCTTGAGCCAGGGCAGCCACTTTCACGAGGAGATGCCGCCGCATGGCTCAGCCCTCCAAAGGTGCCTGCATTTATTTTATTTTTCCATCATAAAAACTCAAGCTGCAGCCCAGCTAGATTCCCAGGCTGTGGGGGCTGGGGGAACACCAGTAGTACCGACAAGGCCAGTAGAGAGGTCTGAGTAACACCCACACTCAGTGCCTTTCTCGGAGAGGAGAGTGAATGGGTTCTCCTCGCTGGTCCCTACCAGGGAAAAAGGGCCGGGGGTGGGGTCTATCCAGGGAGCCTTTTGGACCTGCCCCTCTGCCTCTGCCTCCTGTTGGGGAGGAAAGGCTATGCTAGGCCTTTTGCCTCAGTTTCCTCTGATGTCTTGCAACTAGAACCAGGGCTGGTTCAAAGGGCCACTTCACAGCCCAGAGCTGCCTGTCTCCAATGCTTTCTACCAAAGAAAAGGTCCAAATAATGTGCTCCTCACTTCGTCCACTCACCCCCTACTCCCGCCCGCCAGGACTGCCCCACTGAACAAAATCAAGTTGGGAGTCAGCCAGCCAGAGATCTGAAAGGCCATCTGATGCTCAAGTCCCTCCAAATGTCACTAACCGGTGCACAGCACAAACTTCTGTTCAAATGGTACCAGGAAACCCATGACTTCTGAGACGGCCCATTCTGTCCCGGGCTCTGACAGCTCCTTTCTGCCAAGATGGCCCCAGAGCACCTACCCCCTGCAGCAGACTGGCAAAACCCGTGCTCAACCTGGCTACAGGGGCTGGCCCCAGCTCAGACTGGTTGAGTGGGTGTATCTGGCCAAGTAAAGGCTGGAGGAAGGAAATTGAGAGCAATCTGCTCTGCCCTAAACCCGGCTTGGAATCTCTTCCTCCAGAACAGCACAGGAACCTTCTCAATCCCCGGTGCCTGGCAGGTCGAAGGTGTAACCAGAGCTAGTGAGGTTCCTAGAAGCCTCCACACTTGGCGAGGCTCTGGCCTTGACCTGGCGGCTCATGGAAGGTCTGATCTGAAGGCGGCTGACATTCAGGGTAGGAGGCTGAGCAGCATACACGGGGGCTGGGTTGGGGATGCCAAGTTCTTTGCTCTCTGGGCTCAGACACCATCTAGAAGAAGTCTGTGGCCTACCTCAAGACAGTATGCTCTCAAAGCATGGGGCTACTGAGAAATTCCACTCTGGGAATCAGGAAAATGAGCCAGCCTGGCCCAGCTTCTGATGCCACGCTTCCTGGCCTCCCCACAGCTGAGGCCTGGGTCATCTGCAATGGGGGGGTCTGCTGGCAACACAAGGGGGTCCTGGCCTGGAGCCCCAGAAGGAGAAAGAAGTAGGCCAGGCTTCCTCCCACTGACCCACCTTGACAGCAAGGCTGCAGCCACAGCGTCGCATGGACAGCGCTGTCCCTTACTGGCTCCCCCTGCAGTCTGTGGCCATCCCTTTAAACTTGCCCTCTTGCCTCTTTGGCCCTTGACCTTGTAGAGCTTATCTTGGCTCCTCCGCGCCTTGGACAGCCCCACCCCTTCGTCTCAAGAAGAGAAGGGGCAACTATCACCAGATCCCCACAAGTCAAGGGCAAGAGCCTGCTCAGAGCTCCACCCGTGTTTCACCGCCATTTTCACCCTGGCTTCTGGTTGTGTTCAGGGCCTGGGAATCAGCCTGGTGGGGCCTAACCCTGGGAGCTTCCCAACTGCAGGATGGATATACCTGTGTCTGAAAGCTTCCTCCCTTCTCCCCTCCCCCCTCCCAGCTCCCTCCCCCAGGGAAATCACTCTAAAAGGGCCTAATGGAACTCTGTCCTCCTCTCTTCCTCTCTCCCCTCTCTCCCTCCCTCTCTCTCTTTCCTTTTTTTTTTATTAGCATTTGTGGAATTTATTCCCAAACTCTCCTAATCTTCCGTACACAACCATTTGATTTGCATAACCCAACCCCCTCTCATAAAAACTGGCTGCTAGTTTAATTAAAAAATGTAAATTTGCTGTCATCTCGGGGCCTGGTGAATTAGGACGACATCGGCATTTTTTATTGCTAAAGACGTCCAGATTGATCCAGCCCTTGGCTGAACTATGGTTGGGGAAAGGGGGTCCACATGGTCCCTGAGGGTCCTGAGGTCTTGTTGTCCCCTCCTGAGAAGGCTTGGCTCTCCCACCACTGACGTCCTTATGGCTGAAGGCCTTCAGGACCTAGATGTGTCCGGGGCCGTAGGGCACGTTAACCTATGATCAGAGGTTTGGTGGATCCATGATGCCAGCAGCCCTTCAGGGCCTGCACCCCTCGCCATGGACTGTGTCAGAGAGGCCGTCGGCTGAAGTTGCCCATGCTGCCCCCAGAGGAAGGGACCCTCACTTCACCAGCCATGAGCCCTGGCCAGAGATGAGGCCTGCGGCCCCGGCTGTGTCCCGTGTGCACTGTGAAGTTGAGGGAGCTGTTCCCAGCTCCTGAAGATGAGCATGGAGTCAGCCCAGGGACCAGCTCAGAGGGGATCTCAGCATCCTCATCTGCTTCCCTTTTTTGGTGAAGTGGGGGGAAGAGTGCTTTTCTTCTGAAGTTCTGAGATTATAAGTGAAACTTCCAAGTTCAAAGAAGAGACTGAGATGGTATCACCAGATGACTCCTCCAGGAAACAGTCAGAACTCTGCCACCCTGGGCCTCCCCTCTGGCCAGAGTCCAGGCCTGAGTCCCACTGGGAGTGCTCTACTCCAGCTACAGGAGGAACCAGCTGACCTCAGGGTCCCTTCTAGCTTCTAGGAAAAGTTTCCAGAACCTGTCTCTGGAGTCCTGGGAGAAGTCAGTCTCCCTAAGGCCCAGGAGAGACACCACCAGAGGCTCTGCCACCTGCCTCCTACCAGGGCTGGGAGGCCCTCGCTCCAGTCAGGACACCCTACAGAAGGGCTTTGGAGTACTGTCCCCACGACAGACTTGGAGGGACTTGTTGGTGGATGGCAGGAGGATGGACACTGGCTCCAGCTGGCACTCAGGTTAGGAGGAGACCGGCCAGAGGGCCTGCCTTCCAGCTCTGTAATGCCTGGGTCCCTTGTGCTGGTCCACAAGCAGAGGCTCGCCTGCCCCAGGTAGGGGGGGGTGCCTTGCCACCAGGCCCATCTCTGAGGTCTGCTTCTTGGCTGGGATGGGTGGGGCCCCATTTCCGAAGAAAGGGGGTGGGGCCTGAGAGGGAGGTAATGAGACACTGATTGGAGGTGGGGGTGGGCAGGTTCTCTGTGGGAGTGGAGGGCAGGGAGGGGCAAGGTGGTAGCCATGGCCCTAGACACCTTTACCACTTTGCCCAGCAGGGGGTGTCACACCCTTCCTGGGCACAGAGGTCCTGAGGCCCTCCACATTGGACCAGCCAAGATCACACCTGGTGTCACACAATCCTCAAACTCTGCAAATGACACCGCCCTTCCCCCTCGACAAACACAGGCTCTTCTTCACCGGCCATCGGCCATCGTGCCACCCATCCTCGGCCCCTCAGGGCTGCCTCCTGTCTCTCTGCCCACTCCCCTTTGACCTTAGAAGGTTAGATATCAGCTCATGGGTCCCAAGGGCCGATGCTGTGAACTTGGGCCTATTATAAACAACAACGCTAACAGCCACCAGTATCACCTATCCCATCAATGAACCAGGAGAGTTCAGAGATCAGTCTCAATGAACGATCGGGCTGTTTGTTTCTTTTAAAACATTTAAGACGACAGCTGCTTTTGTAAGCCTCACATGTAAGGGTCCTGGTCAAAATTTGGTTTCAATAGCCAGGGCCCATGGGAAGCCCGCAAGAGCTGAAGGCAAAAACACTGGAAAGAATTAGATTAAAACCAAGAAAACACCAAAATCTCAGGATAAACTGCCCCAGGAGAGCACCAGCCCTCCTGGAACCCCCGGCCTTGTCCCACAGGAGGCCCCCAAAACCTAGATGCCTACGCTGAGTAGTCCTTCTGGTCCATCACCACCCCCCAGGGTGGGGGCTAAAGAGGTGGGTGGGAGACAGTCCAGGGCCCCTCACTTTGAACTGATAACAGCCACCTCATCCCACAGATTCTCAGGTGAAAAATACTCATTAGCCATAATAAGCAGCTTGATCATCCGACACAGCCTTGTCCCAAATAAATTAAATTCCTTTACCTTGAGACAGTCGCCCCGAAACCAGACTAACCACCTTTCCCAACAGGACGCTGCTTTCAAAAACTAAACCACCCCCCACTAAAAAAATAAAAACACACACCCCACAGCCAGACACACAAAGATCTTTGCAGAGAACAAAAAAAAAAAAAAAAAAGCACACACACAGAAAAAAACACGAAGCCATACAAAAAACACGGAGAACAAAAACCCCACAAAAACCCCCTAAATCCTCTCTCTGGGTGCCCCCCAGCTCTTGCTCCTCTCGGTTCTTTCATAATGACAAGCATCACATTAGTCACAGCCTCTAAGCAAGTGGCAAATAACAACAACAACAGCCTCAGAAGTCGCCGATCCCGAGGCCGGGACGCCGGGAGGCAGCCGCCCCGACCCTCCCGGCCCCCACCCGGCCCCGCCGCCACCTCATTGGGCTAAAAATAAGAACTTCCGTAAAAGAAGCGAAAGAAAAGTGAAAGAGCCGCCCCTGCGTTCCCACCGGCCGGTACCTGTTCCAAGATCCATTCTCTTCTCCTTGGTCCCAAACTCTTCGCGGAACGCCACCAGGGGAAGACCGGGAGAGAAGAAACACGGGGTTAGCGTCTCGCGGGACCCCAGCCGCCCGCCCCGCGCGCCCCCCGCCCCGCAGGAGCCGCCCGTCCCGGGCGGGCGCCGAGGCCGCGGCGGAGAAACTTTCTCCTCTGCGCCGCCCGCTTCTCACGCTCGGCCCCGCACGCGCCCGCGGCTCCGCGCAGCCCGAGTTTCTCCAACTAAGGCAGCAACTCTCGGCCGGCGCGGCCCTGGCTTGGGGGCCCGGGCCGGGGGATCCGCGAGGCCCAGAGGCGCCCCCGTCCCGCCGCCAGCGCCCCGCGCCCGGGTCGCCGCCCGAGACCGCGGCCCCCGGGCCTCCCCCGCCCGCGCCCGGTACTCACCATAGTCGGAGAGTCGAAAGCCGAATTCACTTAAATAATCAACTTTCATAATACTTAATTAATGCCTAATTGCAACTGATTACTCCCCGAATAACAAGTTGTTTTAAAGCCCTGATGTCATTGCTCCTGCCGGTAACACTCAGGGTAACAGTTTGGCAGGAGGGAGCGGGCGGGCGGGCGCGGCCGGGGGCGCTGCCAGGAGCCGCGGTGATTGGCAGGGCGGCCGCGGCACCGCCTCCTCGGCCCGAGCCGACGGCCCCGCAGGTGAAGAGCACAGCGGGCCCCGCCGCCGACCGCCACCGGCCGCACAGCCCGCGCCCGGTGCGCCCGCCGCCGCCCGCGCCGCCGCCGCCCGCCGCCCGCCGCAACCGCCGCCCCCGCCCGACACAGACCACGGTGCCGAGTGAATGGTCGCGCTCGCTCCGCGCCCCCCGCCGCGCGCCCCGCCGCGCCGCGCCGCCCTGGCGCGCGCCCCGCGCCGCCACGGCCAGGCGGCCGGGCCCCCATGGCCTCTGCGCATTCCCCCAAAACTCTCATGGCCTCCGGGAGGAGGGGCGGGGGACTTTGCGCTTCAGAGCAAGTGCGGGAGAGGGAACTCGGCCGCGGGGCGGGAGCGCGCCGGAGGACGGCCCCGCGGCCACGCGCCCCACTCTTGCCGGCCGCCGCGGCCGCGCGCCGCGCTCGCATGCTCCCAGCGCCGCTCGGGCCCGGGCGCGAACCCGACGGCCGCCGCGCGCGCCTGCCCTACGCCCCGCGCGGCCGCGCTAACTTTTCCGCGAGGGCGGGCGCAGGTGTGAGGCGCCGCGGGGCCGCGCCCGCCGGGCCGCGCGCTCCCCTGCCCGCTGCCTGCGGGCTCGGGGCTCCTTGGGTAGCACAGGGATTTCGTGTTCCCCTCACAGCAGTGGCGGCTGTTGGAGCTGGAGGAACAGGAGTGCGGGGCGAGGCGGGTCAGAGCGCAGTCAGGCCCGCGCGCCCTCGCATCCCGCTTGTCCCCAGCCCTGGGCCTGACGAGCGCCGGCCTGGGACACACCGGCCTGGGACACGCACTGGGGTCTCCTCCGCGTTGCTTTGGTTTTGCCCTTAAAACTGGTCCAAGTGTCCTCCCAGAGCCTCCCCGGTCTTTCGGTCTTTCTCCCCGCTCCTCCCTCAAAGTTGGGCCATCTGCCCTGCAGGCCAGACGAATGGAAATCGGCGCCCCCCTTCCCCCACAGTCCCCGACCCAGGATCCAGGCCATCACTTGGGCTTCCTCCCTGCCTTGTCCCTCTGGCCTCTGCCCTAGGAAGGGTGCTCAGCAGAGCACAAGCACCCTCAACCAGGGAGTCTGAGGCACATCGCGGCTCCTCCTCCTCCCCGCGCCCCCCCCCCCCCCCCCCCCCACTGCGTCGGGCTCTGGGGCCAGGCCCTGTCCCCTTCAACGTGGAACCTCATATCCTGCCAGCCCATGGCCAGCCAGGCACTTTGTGCTCCCCTTGCTCCTCCTCCTTTTCTGCCAGAGAGGGCAGTTTGAGGGGTCTCCCCACCATGCACAGTGCACCATGGGACATACCCAGATGTCCCGGCTGCAGCTATATATTTTGAGAGTCCTTAAATGTTGGTGACCTAAGTGACCCATCCGGCCCAGAGGGGCTCACGGAAAGAGACGGTGGGGTGAGCAGGGCCTTGGGCAGCCTTGCTAAGGAAGGACCTGGCTCTCCGTCCCTTCTTCACCTATCCTGCTGCCCTCCTCACCTCTCCCCAGCTCATCTTTCAGGAGGGGCCACACTGCCTTCAGATGAGGGGAGGGGAGCAGGGCCCAGGCTTCCCTGGTCTTTGGACAGCATCCAGCAACATGGCGCTGGCCTATTTTTGCAATAATTTCTATTTTGCAAAGGGAGGGGCCAGGGAGGCCTTGGGGCAAAGACATCAGGGAGTTAACAATCTACTCTTTCTCCTACTTTCCCCTCATTTTTCTCCTTTTTTCCTGCTTGCTCTATAGTTCTAAATGGCCTCGAAGGGAGCTGGGCATCCCTCCCCTACTCCACTGCCCTTCCCACTGCCTTCCTGGCCGTCCCCACTCCTGGCCGTCACACAGCCCCATTGGCTCTGTAATTCCCCAACCCATTCCTACATAGGAACAGCAGCTGGAGAGGCCCAGAAACCTTATTGAGCTGCCCCTGGCCCCAAAACCTCGAATAAGGCAACAAAACTACCCCAAGTCTAAGCCTGGGAGTATGACTGCCTGTACCGGGCACCCAGCACAGAGGACTGTGTGCCTCTGCTCCCCACATGGGATCTCAGAGAGGGCATCTGTGTCCAGGACCGCTGTGGGGTACACACATGCCTCTGGGTGTTGCCCCTAGTGACTCCCCAAAGCAAGGAATCGTAACAACAGGCTTGCAGCTCTGGCTGGTGACAGCAAGTGATCAATCCCCACCCCAATCCTGAGCCTCTGCTGTCCTGTCTGGGCAACTGTGTGTAGGAGGAAGCCTGGAGGCAAGGGGCAGAAGAGGTGATTTCTGGGTGCATTTGAAGATGTCTGCACAGATGGGGAGCTCCTTGCATACGTGACCCACACAGCCACTGGCTGGCTCGGAATGTCCTCCTCGGCTTCAGCTGACAGTGGTCAGAGCCTCACCCCTGAGGAGGGTGTGGAGGGGAAAAGGAAGCATATTCCCTCTAGCTGCCCAGGCAGAACCACCTGGATTGGCCACCCAGTAACTCCGGGGCCTCAGGTAGACAAAGGCTGTAGAGGAATGGCGGAAGGGACAGGACTCGAGAGAGCTTGGGGGACGGCAGCCAGCGGTGGAGGGAGGTGTGGGGATGCCTGGAAAACCTCCGTTCTGCCAAGTCCCTGACCAGGTAGCCACAGGTCGAGTGGGCCCTGCCCAAGAGGAAAAGGCCTTCCTCTTGGAGGAGCAGGGGTCAGAGAAGCAAGGAACAGGCCAACTCGGAGTGCAAGGATTTATGAAGGTCAGAGAAGGCGGCGGAGGCTTCGAGGTCGTGGGGTGTGAGTCAGAGGCTGGGTCATGGAGGGGTCCCCAGATTATGCGTCCCCCATTCTCTGTCTCTCTCTCTGAGTGTATCTGCTCGTACCAAGAGGAGAGGTATCTTTTGAGGCTATGGCCCATCTTTGCCTTGAGGACTCCAACATGGTGAAACCTGAGACCCCAAAACCAGGCCACAGTGAGGACCTTCATGTCTGGGACTCAAGGGATGGAAATCCAATGCCATAATCTCTCCTGGTCTTGAGTCCCCAGACCCAGAGCCTCCAGCTCCTCCTGAGACAGCCCACTCGCAAGAGAAAAAGAAGAGTAGAAGTCAACCCAGCGGTCTCCCCCAACCCAGGCTCCCCACCTCAGCACCAAGGAAAGCCATCCGCCCTTCCTGTCACACTGCCATCGCTGGTTCCTTCCCCCCCCACACCCCCAGGTTGCCCACTCACTCTCTCTCCCTCCCCAGCCTGGAGCCTTCTCACTCACCAGCCTGTTTACACACCAGGTATCTCATGCTTTATCTGCTCTCGTTTTGAATTTGTAACTTTCACATAAACTTGAACAAAGCTCCTTTTGTTCTGGCACCCCACCCCAGGATCCCAATAAACTGGTTCCATCTGAGGCGACTGGGCCAGGGCACAGAAGCCTTGGCCAAAGGACTGCGTGTGCCTGCGAACAAGCATGTTCGCACCTGCGATGGAGTCCGTGTGTTTGCGTGTGAGCCCGCTCCGGGGCCGATGGAGGGAGGGTATCGGGAAAACTGTGAGCCAGCGAAGTGGACGGGAAGCTTGGGGCCCGAGGGAGGGCAGAGCCAAGGCACCACGGCACGGCCACGGGCACAGGAGGTCGTGGGCCACAGACAGGTGGGTGTTGGGGCAGGGGGTCAACAGGATGAGAAGGAAACAAAGGGGAGAAAGGAGCCACAGCGTGGGTGGCGGAGCGAGGGCCGCGCCGAGTGTAAGGCAGACGCAGGGATTGCATTATGGCAGGAGAGGGGCTGGCACAGCCGCACGCTCGGCCCCGTAATCCTGTTAGCCAGCAATCTCCATTCCGAAAGAGCTTCATTTCTTTGTGAATATTTGTAAACTAGATATCTAATGGAAAATTATAGGAAAATTATAGTGAAATTCATGACGGAGAAATCCGATTATCCCTAATTCAATTATGCCATCTTAGCCCACACAGCACATTTCCCATTTTTTTCCCATAAATACCGATGCCAGGGGTCCCGGTAATCAAATAAAATTGAAAATCATCTTCCCATTAAATTCAATTAGCCGCAATTTCTAAAGCCTATCAGAGATTTTAATTACTAAATTATAAAATTCTCCAATGCTAAATTGAAACCAAAAAAATTGCACATCCTTGTATTTCAGAGAAAAAAAAAAGGGCCAGCAAAATCCTTGAAAAATGCCCTCTTCTCTGTGGCCGGCTCCGAAGCAGCCACCCCACCTGGAAGAGGCTCACCACTGCTGCCTACTTGTCCAGCTGGGGATGAAGCCAAGGGACCAAGGAGGGGCCCTGGCAGGGGAGGGCTGAGGGGGACTGGCTTAACAGAGGGGCGAGCCGCACCTCCAACCCCAGTGAGCTTCTCCACACTGGCCTTCCTCTTGTGGGCTCTCCTGGCTCCTGAGAAGTCCTCA